CAAGCTTATCAAGCCTTTAGTTTCAGACATTACTACATCCAGTTAAGAATTGGTCTGATTTGCTGTCAATCTTAAAGGTGTGGAGTGAAAAATATCAAAGATTTTGTCCGTCTGCTGTGATTTTTCACAAGATGTCTTCATGGTAACAATAATTGAAGAATCTGGTTGAGGGAAGTAATTCAATTAAATCGGGATCAGATAGCAAATTGAAATTAAAAGTATGGAATTATTTCATGGTGTAATGCCTTGATATTTGTTAGATGTTAATCAGTTTGTCTTTGATGCAGGTCAGGTTCTAGCCATTATAAAAAGTACATGTTCATTGGAATTGATAGTTTGCAGAATTTTTTTTTCATGAAATGTGCATTTTTATTCCAATATCTTCTGTATTTTATATTTCAATGCCAACATGTTTTGAACAAATATTGCCTTTTAAGACATTGTTTCCATGTGTGGGTGTTGAAACTTCGATTTCTAATATTAGTTGTCCATCCTATAAGAAAATTGGTCAGCCACACTTTTGTTTATTGAAATTTTATGAAGATTTTTCTGAATTAGAAAGATGTAGTAAATAAAAATTCTGTAACTTGTTATATTAAATAAAAGTATGGATATCAAAGCATTAGGTTACAATGTATCATGTCTACTTCCTCTATTCTGTCTGAACCTAATTTCACTGTTTACAAAAACACATGTTTATCACATCAAATTCACCTTTATTTCCTACTGATTTCAAGTGATTAAGTGCAGCTCAGCAGGATCTGAAAGGTGTGAAAAATCTGCTTACTTCGTGCCATTTTGATAAAAATGGTAAAACAGCAGTCTCGCAGTTTAACAAACAAGTCTTGCAGCTCATGTATAGTGATATTCTAGACTTCAATATAAAAGAGTCATGCAAGTACAAATCTTCTCACATAACTGTCTAATTATTACCGCAACCAAACAGATTTTTATGCTTGAGGACAACGGGAAGACAGTAAAAAGTAAATAGGAATTGAAAATTAATGTTCATTTGATGGTAGGACAGATGTGTTCTTAGCCAACTTTCTTTTCACTTCCCGCCATGTTAGGCCATATGTTTAGTTTGATTAATGAGAAAAATATAGATTTTAATGGGAAAACAGATTGAATAATGTGTATATGATCACAATCAGGTAAATAATAATCTAAAAATTTGCCCAGATTTTACCAGACTAATTGGACAAAAAGCAAACATGCCACCATTTTAATGTCCATTTGAATATGATTAGTTTGATATTGAAGATGTAAATTTTTAATTTTATGTTTAGAAAATATACAGTTACTATAGAAAATGTATTACCATATGATCTATGGCATGTATCTTCAGGTTTTTTATTAGTAAAAAGATGAATACCCAATGTGAATAAATTGTTATTCAATTTTGCAAGAAGCTTGACAGTTGTGTCAAAAGCTTCTAGAGTCATTGTGAGGTCTTTTGTTGTAGTTACCCATGCTCTTGACAACTGCTGGTGGGGTAGTCTTTAATTGAAAATATCTTAACAAGCATTGTGATTAGTCTTAGAGAGCAATATTTTTGAATTCGATAGCTCACAGTCATGAATGATAAAGTGAAAGAGAAGAAGAGACATTAATACAGAGCATATCCAATATGTCGACAAATATGCAAATGGACATATTAGGCTATCAATAAAGTGTGCTTTCCTAAATGGGCTTTGAAATCTGAATATATTTTTTTGAGCTTTATACTTTTGTAAGCATGTTGTGAATCAAGAAAATTAAAGAAAACTAATTTTAAAGTCCAAACCATTAACAAAAATCAAATTCTGCTGTCACTGACGAAGATGAGAGAACTGAGGAAGGAGAAAGGAGTGGGCTTTAGGACCATGTAAGAATCATTGTTATATTATCAATGGTTATCTAGCTCCAATATGGAATATATAACTAATCAATTATAAAAGTGATATTCTATTTATTGCATTAAGGGAGAATTTACTACCTTAAACCTAATCATCATCTTCAATAGAGTCAGTAATCCACATGATCTGACTACACTAGAGTATAATAAGTAAACAGTCCATTCAATATTGCCAACAATATCCACCATATGGTAAAGTAGCACGCTTCATATCTGGACATTATGCTTAGGTACACAATCTATTGTTGAAGATGCCAATATCTTTAGGCTTGATTTAATTTGTGTTTTCATTCCCAATAATTTTCTAACACGCCTCCTCTTAAGCTCTTCAATCCACCTCTAGAGAATTTTTAATAGTTTTCCTATTGTCCGTCTGCTATTATATGGAAAGCCATTGTCACCAAATTGTTCATTTAAATCACCGATAATGAGGTGTCAGTGTTTCCATATTTTATTTTTTGGAGAGTTTATTAATAAATTGATTATGAGGTTTTTTTTAATATGCATGCATTGATTATTGATTATCAAGTCCTTAAACACTAAGATATATGGATATACTACTTCTGAATCTATTACAAACTACTTTAGAAACATATTCAGTGTTTTAATGTAACCTTCCTACGTCTTACAAATATTAGATATATTTATATGTACTTCTGTTATTCTGTGGTGTTGAAATATTCAGGTTGGATTAGGTTTAAAAAGGATAATCTTCAATCATTTAACCAAAACCTTATATTGAATCTTGCAAATTCTTTGAAACTGATTCAAAAAAGTTTTTCATGGCTTTCAATGCATATTAGTCTGTGGTCAAGGAAACCTGTTTTGAATACCTTCAAATGCTATCACTTAGCCAGAAGAGAGTGAAAATTTGAGAATTAGATTGTAAGGGTCAATGTTAAAGGACAAACTAAATTGTTTAGTCTTTTCTTTGATATACTTATAATCAGCTGTAAAATAGATAATATTGTACTATAACCCTTAACCTTTGATACTGTCTGTCAAGGTCAATGTTAGAAAGTACCACATGGCCGACCCCTGGTCTTGACTCTTTAAGAATTTTGATAAAACTTGGATTGATTTACAGATGTTTTATACCTAAAGACAAATTGAACTATCTTGTAAGGTACTACTTCTTCACTATCTGTACCTAATTCGGTCTCATTCAGTGCATTAGATAACTGTTCTGTACCCTGACATTGGTAATTGGTGTGATAGTCCAATCCAAGCAGAATATCTACCTTTCTCTGGGTTGAAGTAGGCGGTCCACTGCTGTAGTATTTGACTGGTTCCTACTGCTTAATATTTAAATTCTGCTTTTTGATAGGCATTTGATAGTATTCTTCAGGTACATGAATTCAGATGCCTGTGATGTGACATTGAATAAGCGCCATCCTTGATCTTCATTATCCCTGTTGACCCAGCTGTAAAGAGGTACCAATATTCCACCCAGTGTTTTAACCAGGAAGCAAACAGGATCCTCATGAACTCAAGTTGTTCCTTTCCTATTGTAAACTCGGGTTGTTTGTTTCTATCTAATAACAGATTAAATAACTCAGTTGCACTTGCCCTCTACTTAAATATACATACTACCAATTAACTCCATTGAGCTACTTGAGATTCCCAGACTTAATTTCTCAATGTCAAGAAAGATGTTCCATTAAGTACATGTAGCATAATTGCATAAGTTCAAATTCAACTTCCAAGATTAAAAGGCGAAGAAGTAGAAGACATATGTAAATTGTCAGATTATTACTTTCTGAAAGTGTTAAATTACAAATTAAATGTTTTCACATCAATTATTTGAATGTTATGGTCCAAAATAATCAACAAATGGTACTTATATCTCGACACCTGTTTTATACAAACTGACTTTATCTTAATTTATTACACAAAGACTACCTTCTGCTAATCTTGTTTTCAGATATCTCTATGACATTATGGACCATTGGTGAGTAAAGGTTAGGTCCCTCAAAAAATAAACTCTTCATTTAATGATAATAAATAAACTTGGATAACTTTACACTTGAGGACTTTTTCTGACACCTGCTACCACTACCACAATCATATCTTGAGATATTATGTAACTATTCAATTGATATGGAAAAATTATGCCCTGAGTGTGAAATACAAATGGTTTCTGTATCTGTGTTGAACTCTCTAATCTTGAAGGTAAATTTCTGTAAAATGATTAGCCTCAATTTGATTTCAATGTTACATTCGATTCTTCTACCATTTGCTGACTCACAATATTTTATTTATTTAGAAGTTTTCTTGAAGTAACAAACTATTACTGTGTTCTTAGAACTCACAAATAAATACAACTTACACAATTTATTTTGTCTGGAAGGGATATCAGAAAATATTGTGAAATTGACTAAGAAGAAAGAAGGCATGGAACACCTGTAGTTTGTCTATGATCTTCAAGCTGTATATCCTGATGAGTTCTTTGGGTTATAAAAACAGTAACTGAAATGAAGATATGGTGGTTTTATGACTTGTGTTTTAAATGAAATTTTGTTTATAAAAATTATTACTTTCTTTCATAAAAAAATGTTGGTTCATAACATTAGTTAATAAGTTTAATTAGTTTAGTTTAGTGAGTTTGTAAAAATGAATGGTAGTTCATGGATAAAATTGTATCCTAAGGTGTCAATCTGAAATGTCGCATCATAAATCAACTACTCTAACAACAATTCAGAAGCCTAAATAACATCACAAAAACACTGTGTTACATTATTACGACATAACAAAACTTTCACATGTTTCATGTTTCAATAATCAAATACGATAAAATATATTGACTCTTGCATTCAAATTTTTCATCACATGTATCAAAACAGTTTCATAGACAAACATAGCCTATACATCTGAATATCTAAATATCTATTTTAGACAGTTTTCACTTCAGCACTTTCATAGATTTGAACATAATCATAGTGTCTGAAACAACCCCTGATATTTCATCTTAATATTTTCAAATTTTTCAAATTATAGCTGTTTTTATCAGATAATTCAAATTATTTCCTATTTTTTCAGATTATTCAAATTATGACTTACAATTTTCAGATTAATTATATTCTATTTCATCTTATATTTTCAGATTATTTAATACTGAAAGAATTAAGATATTAGATGAAGGTAGTCGATTAAAAGTTATGAATATATCAGCTACAGATAATGGGGTGTATTCTTGTAGAGCTGAAAATGTTGCTGGTGCAGTGGACAGTTCTAATAACTTCTTACTTAATGTTAAAGGTAAGCTATTCTCTTTTTTTTATTAAAGGGAAGCTAAAGCATCTTTGGCCTGTTTTCTTAAAATATCTGACTTCATTATTTCAGTCCTGTTAGTTGATCCAGAAATAGGCAAAGATCATTCTTTTTAAGCTTCACCAAGGAGTAACTCATATAAAAAATACCAAGTGCTCTTGTTTCTAATCTTGTACTCCTAAATACTTTGTACAATCTTTTTGATTGGATATTTAAAATTTTTTTTTTTAAAGTTTGGTCCTGATGAATCTCATTAAAATCCAGTCCCATCTGCTTTTATTTGCAAACTTATCAAATCTTCAACCCTATGTGAAGATGCAGTTCAAGAGGCTTTTAGCAAAGGATAACAGTAAAAGAGAAGGATGTATTAACATGAGACAAATATAAGGAAACATCTTGATAGCATATCACTGATCAAGTTGTTTACTTTGTGCGTGTTGCATTTGCTTGAAGCGATGTTTTATAACAAGTAAGCCTAATTGCAGCTTTCAGAAGGAACTTTTTTTAATCTAGACTCTTGGAAGTATTCTTCCATTGAATAAACCCACTGCATAAAAAATCTTAATGTTACATTGGACTCAGTCGACTTAAACTAGTGCTTTATTGATACCAATTTGCAATGCATTGTTAAATTTACAATTTACTTAATTCAATCTGGCAATCCATCACTGACTAAGTTCTAAATCTTTTAAACAAGTCAGATTTTCATTAAAAACTTTTTAACTCTACCGTTAAGTATTTTACTTCGTGAAGGATTATGGACAGGTTTTAAAAAGCAATATTGAAATATAGAAGTTAAATTATTCAATGACTTAGAGAAAATCACTATTTAGAAAAGCTTTTAACATGGATGTGCTAATAATGGAGTTTCCAAATTTGCGGCATTCAAGCTAGATTAAAAGTAAATTAAATGCATTTTGGCTTAATCGTATTCAAATGTGGCGGGGATCAAGTTGGATAAAGTTAAGTCATTAGAAATTTCCTTAGGGGAGAGATAGATTCTCGAGAGTATCTGACCTCTACAATGTTTTTAGGTAATAATCTTACCATCGTTTTCCAATCATTAAACATTAAATCGTACTAAAATACTCCTTCCAAATTGAAGAGTATAAAAATGGCGTAGATCTGATGGCCGTGATTACGTTATACAGTCGTTATATAGTAATGAAAAGGGAAAGAATAATGTAAAATTCATAGCTTTTCTTAGATACGTAATGGAGTTGGGTATTGAAGCATTCAGAAATATTGACCTGATACGTAAAAAGGGTAGTTAAATCATCTCTAATATCTTGATTAATTGTCCTCAAGCGCTTGATTTATTCATCTTCAATTTTCTGCCATACCATACTTTATGACTTATGTCAATCTCATCTTGCTAGATAAGTTATTTTTAACTGAAAACTAAATGAAGTAGAGATAGCAAGTTATTGAGTAAGAAATAAGATTTGTTTTCTAATTGCTTTTTGAAAGGCTCTTTTGGCAACGTGTCCAAAACAGTCTAGAAATATCTCATTCATGCAAGACTATTTGGGCGGCCATAGATTTCTTAATGATGTATCAGGAGTGGTCTGGTGCAAAACCGACAACATTTGTCAATTAGCTAACTGTATGTAAATGATGGTTCTTTTTAACTTCAGAGCTTCTTTCGAAGAGCTCAGACTGATCCTTTTAGAGTGTACACCTTGTCAATCAAAAATTAACTTAATGTGTTTCAATAGTTATATAACTGTCAATCAAAACTTGCAATCTGAAACTGTTTTCAATGTATGCTAACTTCTTTTTATATATCTCTTCATTCAAGTCGTCTTGTATTACCTCAATTTGACAAATCAGATCAATAATTTCTTAAAGCTTTTAGCAGACGCATGCCTGACAGAAACTCTAATATTAGTCAATGTTTTAAAAGAACCAATTTGGAAGCTTTATGTTTTCATCAGACCTTGAACAATTTCAATTCATAAGATCATTTCCAATGACTGCTTGATGATATCTGTGCAAATGAGAGGATGTGATTTTCTCGAAAATTGTGATGGTTATTGAATGCTGTCATAAATGTGGAAGACAATCGGCCAAGATTTCAGATCGACTTTTTATTCACGATCAGTCGCTTGTAAAAATATGAGTTTTCTTGAGGAATTAAAAAAAAATGGGTGAATAGAGAAACATTTGCATGAAGGATGAGGCAATATAGCATACCATGTATAGATTAAAGATTCATTCTCCATTTTTCTCATTTCCAAACGCTTGACTGAGCGCGATAAAAAGAGCAAATGGTTTAAAATTGTAACGTCAAACTTGATTAACTTAATCTTCTGTTATATGATTCTTACAACCTATTGATTATTGATAGATGCACACTTGCTTAGAAATTCGTCTCAATTTCAAGTTACTAAGTACAAAAAAATTTTCTAGATAAATCAAGTAATGGTTTGGCTTTATAGAAAAAAAAATATATCCTACAGAAATACTAGATCCATATGAATGGAGATTTAGGGCAATTTTTTAAGAATGATTGTGTTGAAAATTTGCTGAAAAAAAGCAACTTATTATTTCACTAAGGTGAAAAATAGATACTCTTGATAAATTTGGTTTCTTGGTCTTTAGATACATTGCAATGCTAAGCACGATTTTTATCATTGGAAAAAATTCTGAATCCAATTGGAAACTTAGATATTATACACAAATGGTGTATGTTACTGTTCTAAGCATGCTATCCACCTCTGCCTGATTATGATTAATTGTTAATAGTTGATAGATTGACAAGTCCAGTTGATTGAAGTGAAGTTGAGTTAGTAATGAGAGATGGTAGGAAAAACATATAATTATATTGATATTAGAGCTTGATTACCCTCTAAACAAAACTTTATACATTGATAATTCTAGCCTCCAAACAAAACTCTACAAGACATTATTGATCACAAACATCAATTACCATTTTACTTTCTTCTACAACAAACTGCCATGTCAGATAGAATACTAAACTCCTAGAAATAACTTCAGTTGGTTTTTATGCTTTTACAAATGATAACTGTTACATGTAACTTTAGTTCGCAAAGATTAAAAATTTGCAGACACCTTGAAGGAAACATAATCGTTTGGATCCCCATGATGCTAATCTCAGTTTGACAATCTAGAACATCAGTAAAACATCTTAACCTGGCAGATACAACCAACTTTGATAGCCTTAGCTTAAGCCAGTGGTTCCTAACCTATTTCAGCCTTCACACCCCTGGAGTAATCATTTAGATCTTTCACACCCCCAAAAATTTGTTTCATCCACATTTTCAGCATGTGATGATGTGAGGTGCTCTCTCAATTCAAAATAAATTCTTCTCCTACACCAATTGGCCACACCCCTGAAACCCTAGTCCGACACCCCTAGGGGGTGAAAACATCCGGGTTTGGAACCAGGGGCTTAATGCATTAATAATGCCAGGCATTTGGACATCTCTGGCAGAGAATCCTCCTGTCAATAGAAGTAATAGCAATTATTTTTCTCCTTTTTCAAAACCAAAGCATTTGTCTATGTCTTATATATTGAATATCATTAGTGATAAAAGCGATTTGGTTGCGCATTATAGTTAAAGCCACCTATGCCTATAAGTCAGACTTGCAGGAAGATGGAATAACTAAATGGAATCAAATTCCAGAGGTAGATATCACCGTGCCCCAACCAAGTTTATTTATATATGGAATAACAAACTGAATACAGATTTGATGTGCATGTTTGAAATGAATAAATTCTAAGACATCTTGATGGCAGATTTATTAAACTATTTTAGTATTACGTGTCATAATCTTTTAGATTTACATAAAAGTGCCAAACTTCACGATATTTTGATAAACTTTTCAATATTGGTTTTTGATTATTATTACATGATGGAATAGAATTTATTTTCACATCTTTAAATTAATTGCCAATTTAAACATACTGTCATGCTATGGGCTGTGGATTTGGTTGTATAAACCAGTCATCTCTCACTTTTACTCCAAAATATGCACTGTGATAGGGAGTGCTGACAAGTTGAGATCCTTGGCTTCTGAATATAAATAAATGGTTTCCATCAGAAATAGATTTGAAAATAAACTAAAGAAAAATGATAATAAACAAAACATGTTTGTTACATGTCAACTTAAATGCCAATAAAATCAGAGCCGCGAGGAAAATAACTCTGTGATGAATTTTATTTCTGTTGAATTCTGTTTCAGTTACACCCTAATACTGTTACATATTGAATATTGTTACATATTGAATACTGTTACACCCTGATATCTGTTAAATTTCATTTGGATAGACCTAATAAGATGACAAATTATAACATGGAGAAATTTTTCAGTAACCTTTTTATACGCCCACAAATATATTTTGGGTGTATATTGTAATTTTTGATTTTGAGGACAGTCTTTTGCAGACTGTTGGGAATCTTGTGGTGGCTTCATTTGCTTCTTGGGTTTTTTCTTGGTCAGCATTGAAAGATGGAGTTATCTTATATAAGTTATCTTTCATCAAGTCGAACCAAACCAAAAAAGGTATCAGCTTATTCAAGAGAAATAATTGCAATGAAATTTGCCCAACGTATAACAGGATCTTCAAAACTTATTCTAAGCTTTATTTATTTTTCTTTCTAATGTCAGTTACTTTTAATACTTGGTTGTTTTTTCCAGCTCCCAACTCTCCTCATCTAAGAGAAAATGAATTCACTGCTCATCAGTTGGTATTAAAGGGAAAATCTGCCAGATTAGACTGTTCTTTTAATGATGCTGTAAGAATTGACTGGTTTTCTAACTATGAGAAGCTTTCTAACACTTCCAGGTATGTATGACATTTGGATTTACTCTGTTATCCAATTCTATACCTTAACAAATTTGTAATACACTTTGAAACTACTGGAGAGCCTTGTTTGAGCCCCGAGCATTTATGCACTAGCCAAAAATGAAAATATGGTCATATTTTAATATATCGAAGGTAGCAATGAATGTACATTATTTTTCATACAATTTTCATATTTCAGACATGTTGTATACAGTAATGGATCATTATATTTTCCTAAAGTACGAGCTAGTGATGAAGGTAGCTATAGATGTGAAGGATTGAGTGGTAATGGTAATCCCGCACAAACATTTACTGCTGAACTTATACTCTCTAGTAAGTTTACTTCCTGTTTATTAATAAATTGTATTCATAAAAATTCATGACCTCAAATAGTAATTTCAAAAGCAGAAACTAAAATGAAAGTTTGCTGCTGAATCCAAATCATTATGTTCATAATTATGTGACAGGTTTCACAAGGCATGCTCTCCAAAAGTCTTGATGAACTTCTTGGCTTTGAGTATTGGAGCATCAGCATCCATTTTGGGGAGGCTACATGACTCAAAATAAACATTGTAATGACATCTTCATGCACACTGACAGCAATATTTCCTTTTAAAAGTTTTACAAATACAAAAAGATTTTTTATTCTGAAAAGATTGGCGTAGTCTTAAAGTAAGATTAGGATATGATATTTGTTGTCAGTTTTGACTGGTATTGTTTTAGTCATGAATCTTTAGTCTGACAAGCTATTTATTGACAGTTGTCATATATAATAATAAACTCAATTATGCTCTGTTTTCATCCTATTTAAAACTGGACGAGAGAAAATGTAGACAGTGAAAAACTAATTTACAAGTCATTTCCTGAAAAAGGAAGTTTTCTAGACGACAATTGAAGATAATGGTTCCTATATTTGGTCAATATCATCTGCCTGAATTGTTTCATGTTCCCACTTATCATATGATTGCAGAAATGTAATTGGCAGACCGTTTCTTGAAAATGTTGAAAGTTAATTGCAAAAGTCTGCCTTTCTCTTCTTCTATTGCCTATTTAGTTTTAGACTTGACATTCATGCAATGGATTGTGCCAAATCGGTCTACATTTTGTCAGTTTCTCAACAGATCTGCAAAACATTTGAACAAGGTTTCTTTACTCACTGACAGCCATGATGGAGCAGCGACTTGAAAAAAAGTTTATAAAGTATGTAAAAAAGGTTTTGTCTGTACTTTTTTTATGTGATGCAGAAACAATTAGCTCGCGTCTGCTTCTGGTGGTATCAAAATGTACAAGATGAAAGCCAGTCGACAGCCATACTAATTGGTTCTGGATTTTGATTATGCTTTTTGTTTGTTAAGATGCTTGCAATATGGATTATGGTATTTCCTTCTAAGATGATTCAGGATGACTCTTGAACTTTATGTCTTCCTCATTGATGACTTTATTTAGGCTAAACAACTTTGGTGTATGGATATGTCTGTATTCTTGTCATTGAATAAAGAGTGTTATTGCAGAGTGAAATTTAAGTCAGACATGAATGGTAGAAAGGACAAATCAGCCCTCTTTCCTTTTTCTAATCTCAACACTGCACTGAACTCCTGCACTGAAAGTAATCTAACTGAAACACCAATCAACAGATGACTATAGATATTGGTCAATACCATCAATCATTTCATGAATCATAAAGTCATGTTAAACCAACAGTATTTTATTGTTACAGACAGGAATTACAACTGCTTAACAGGTTGTATAAATATCATAAGTACGACTTATGTAAAGATCTACTGACTTAAGTACAACTTATGTTCAGATTAAATGACTTAAGTGGAACTTAGGTAAAGGAGCTTTATTGACACTCAGATTACATGTTGATAATATTGAGAGTTTCAGAAACTTTTGGTGAAATAAGGTAGGATAGTTTTGCAAACTAACAAAATTCAAATATAACACAAATAGATATTGAACACATTCTGTCACTTTGGGAAGCAGTGAGAATACAGTCGATTTTTCAAATCCGCTTCAGATCTGAGGACTTAAGATTCAATGAAAACCGCGATCACACATGCTGCAGGATTAAGATTTTTCTGAGGTAGGATAATGCTGCTTTTCTGAACATGACCTGAATTTTCCCTTTCTTATTAGTTCCTTAAGGTAATAAAATGTAGATCATGAATTCCAATTTGTTTCTTCAAAAATGTGTTATAATCTTATGAGATGTAATTTTGTACAAAACCAAAAGGAACACCACATCTGAATCTTTCGCCAAATTCCCATTTTTTATACTCTCTATTCCAATGATTAGAAATAGGATGCTAATTGTAGGAAAATTACATACGTAAAGGAATCAGCAACCTTCAAAACAACTTGTTAATTTGACAAAAAATTGTTAGAATTCTTGTATTGATAGGTTTCAAATGTGTTGCTATCTTTTCTTTTCGCCTTTTTGTGGATTCAAACTGACAGCAAATTGAAATGAAAGGCTGAGAAAAGAAACCAAGAGATAATTGTTTTGAACATTTTTAATTGCTTATTTCACCAAGAATGTTGTTTTCTCTAGAAATTGTTATTGTTGATGTTATTTGGTTAGAGATTAAGTAAGAAATGTTTGGAGTAAGATGATATTGTTGAAATTTGTGTCTTGGTGGTCACCAGGTGTCACTCTTTATCAGCAGACGTCATTCGATTGTTGTTCAATAGACAGTGGTTGCATGTTCTGGAAAGTAATATCATGATTTGAAATATCGATAGTCTCATACAGACTTCTTGTTACTTTCTTGAAGCCATTAAGATAAGGAATAGGACATTTTGGCACAAAGTCCTTGGGAAGACTTACCGGTAGACTTATAAGACTTACGATTCTACAAAATACATATTGACTGTTATATTGTACAAGATGTATTGAAATATCTGTAAAGTTTAAACACAAATTCTTTTGTCTTTCAGATTGCTACTTTCAATTTACATTAAACATTGAATTGCTACTTTCTAATCTAAAATGATTTGTAAGACTAATATTATCAGTTCAATGTCAATGAAATCCTTTTAGAGAACGTAACAAAATTATACTTTATGTTTCTCATAAAATCTCACTATTGTCTTCTCTATCGCTGACTTGATGGCGTAAGGAGCTGATATTGATTTTCATTCAGGACAGTATTGTCCATGGTTGGAAATCTCTACTGTTTTATTACCACTTGGACTATTTAGGGTTGTGAAACAGTTTTGGTGTAAGGTATTAAGGGTCTAAATCAGGGCCGACATGAAAGGGTTTATTTAATAATAAAAACCAATCATTTGACTCGGATATATCTGTGTGGAAATATTCTCACCAATCTAATTAATCATTGAATAATTGCACAAGACCCGGCCACATGAAATCTTTGATCAGTTATCTTTGATTGCATCTGTTGTCTTTGATGTGACTATATTGGGTCAGAGGGTATGGTCAAAAGCTATGTTTGATTGAAGCTCGGGACAATCAGTAAGAGCTCAATATCACTAATAAGATGATTTATCATACTCTTGTTGTCTATGCTCATTGGGATTGCACCCAATTGACTTCTGTATCATTTGATTTTTCTGTCCTTCATTATCAACAGTGATTTTATATTCCCACTGAAATGCAAATGGCCACCTTGAAGATGGTCCATCAGAAATTTCATATCATTTTTCATCAGCCTAGAGGATGGCCCATAATAGGTCATAATAGTGAATTGAAAAAATGTTATTGTCAAGGGTCAATGTTTGATGATACAAAAATACTTAACTTTCATCATTGGAATTGATGCAACTTTTTGGGCTCAAATTCTTGAGATGCAGCCATGTGCACATCAGACTGCATAAAACTTTGAAAAACTGTTTGCTGATTTCATAAGCAACCAATCATTGATCTCCATTTGTGTCTGCATGCAATTCTACATTTTCTACAAGTTAGCATTTGAATTTCTATATAGGCCTACAATAGTTTTAACGTTAAAATAGTGCTCAATACATCAATTGAAGAGCGATATAGATTGTTCTGGGACTGTATTTCTTACAATTAAATTAATAGAAGACTAAAATTTGGGAAAATAGCCTGTCCTGCAGACAATTGACTCATATAAAGTAACGTTGCTGACATTGAAGATCTGACATTCTGTAATTGCTGATTCTTAACAAGTGTGGATTCAATAGTATTTTTTTAACAAACTAAATGACCTTTGTAACATTTCAGATATTTTTTTTCTCAATTTTTCTATCTTGATATTCATTACTTTCTTATCAATGTGTCATTGAGAAAATTTAAAAATACGACCTTTTGTCATATGAGAAGAAAATACATAATTTGTTTTTATTGATTTATTGATGGAATAGTGAAATATTTTTGAACTCAGTAACGTTGAATGAATGGTAATTTTCTGCCTGATCAATTTTAATCAGTTGAGTAACATTCGTTTCGTCTTTTTGTGTATTTTACATTCAATTTACTGTCAGTTGCAATGTTTTATTACAGAGTTTTTCCTTGAATTTCAATATGAAGGCAACCAAAGCCCTTTATTTACGATGACGACGTTTTGACTTTGAATTATTGGAAAAATGATGTCATCAAATTGACGAACATGATATGGACATAAAGACATGACTTGGCATCGCATTTTTTTAACCATTGTTGATGAAGAAATTAAAGTGAGACTTCTTCTATAAAAATTGTATGACATTAGATAATGACATTGTCAATCAACTGGTAGAATTTTGAAAGATAAGTAAATAGTGAACACACGTTAATATTAGGTTTTATAATTGAACTGTTTTACAGGATTTTATTGATATAGGTCTGACAATCAAAATAGAAACTTGTGTATCGGCAAGTCTCTTGTTTTTGCTTGATTTACTTGTAATTTAAACCACTTCCCCTTATCAATACAATGATAAGACCATTGTTTACTTCATCCAATAGGATTTTTAATAATGCAAAATAACATTTTTCTGCAAAAGGTGTTGCAAAAACTGATATCATATACACAAAGTTGTGTGTTCATAAATTTACAAAACAAATTGTACAAAGAATTTTTTGATTGGCTCGTTCGAAATTCACTTAACATTTTGAATGTTTATTTCCTGAGATTAGGTACAGCACTATTAGTGATTAAGTCATGTTTCTAGGAAATAAGAAAAGCATCAATAAGACATGATAGATAGGACAATTTGAAATCAATTGAAGTGTATTAGTAAGAGTAATCAACCTGTCAATCATACAGATATTAGATATTGACAAATTTCTCAAGTAATATCCTTCTTGTTTGATGCTCATTATATTTGATAGGTAATCTATAGAGATATTAGATAACGTGATTGCT